CCACATCTTAGTGTTGTCTGTGAATTTGAACAGGGTACTTTTTACACCCTCGTCCAAGTCACTGATGAAGATGTTGAACAGTGTGGGCCCAAGGACCGAGCCCTGGGGGGCCCCACTGCCCACATCCCTCCAGGTCGAAAATGACCCATCCTCTACCACTCTCTGGGTGCAGCCCTCCTGCCAGTTGGTGACCCATTTGACTGTGTGGGTGTCGACACCACAGTCCCCCAGTTTCTTAATGAGAACGGGGTGAGAGACAGTGTCGAAGGGCTTCCGAAAGTCTAGGCAGACTACGTCCACTGCTACCCCTGCATCTAAGGATTTGGTGACCTGGTCGTAGAAGGCCACCAGGTTGGTCTGACAGGACCTGCCTCTAATGAACCTGTGTTGGTTGCCCCTAAGCATAATCTCCCCTGCTGGCTCCTCGTGGACATGTGCCACGATAATTCGCTCAAAAAGCTTGCCCAGGATTGAGGTAAGACTAACCGGCCTATAGTTTCCCAGGTCCTCCTTCCTTCCCTTTTTGAAGATGGGAACCACACTGGCCCTCTTCCAGTCCTCTAGCACCACACCAGAGCACCACGAGTGCTCGTACAGCCGTGCCAGGGGTCCCGCAATGACCTCAGCCAATTCCCGCAGCACTCGAGGGTGGAGATTGTCCGGACCAGCTGATTTGAATACATCCAGTCCCTCCAGAAGTTCTCTAACTCCTGTCAGCCCCTCAATTTTGCAGGGCTCATGTTTTAAACCCATTTTACCTGGTGCAGGGCAGACTTACAACAGCTGAAGAAATCACCCTATAGATGAAGGAAGAGATTCAGCATGCCACAGCATGCAAGAGGCAGGGACAGGCAGAAGCACATCACCACTGGGACTCCCCTGGAACTGCTGTGACATCCATTGCATGCTCTGTGCCAGCAATGGAAGTTAAATTAGGCCACATGATGTTCTCATTTCTACTGAGGCTTGTTAAGGTGGGGAGCAGGAAAACACAACCAGCTCTCTGTGGCTGCCACACTCACACATGGTGGCGAACCATGGCCTAATTGTTTGGATTGAGATACTACTACAATCCCAACAGAACAGTCTGTCCCCCGTCCCCCGCCCAAACCACCATGGTAGGAAGAGGTAGAATTTCAGGTCTGAAAGCAAAGGCTCTAAACTGACTGAAGTCCTGCCATCTATAAAACAAAAGTGTTGCCATCCCTTTCTTAATCAGCTCCCAAATTTAATTTTGATATTGATATTCTCCTGTCAGCTTCTAGCATTATTGCCTTTAATAATCTGCAGCTGTGTTCTGCTACACAGCTCATCCTGAAGGGTAATAATTACATGGCACTTAATATACCTTTCTATGGCAACACTCGGGCTATTTAGCAATCTGTTTTGTTTTGACCTACAACACCTGTTGAATAGGACGTTCTCTTTCTCTTGGTCAGCCCTAGATAATATTCTCATACACTGAACTCATTTTTAGACAATGGAATCAAATTACTCTGTTTTAACTCAATTTATTTCCTTGAAACTAAACTGGCTTAACATGGAGCATTTTCCAGTATTCCCCCTACTCCATAAAACCGTTAGTTTTGCTAGATCATCTGTTTTATATTTCCAATATGAGAAAAGAAGTATTGCCCTGAATTGGGAAAACACATTAAGGTTTTGTATGCTAGACTATTGGTCAAGATAGATATATTTACAAAAATGGGGGCAGCAGGTAAGATATTTTGAATATAGCTCTTTTCATTTCTGGAACTCATTTATCTTGCTGTTATTGCTGCATCAATGTGTCTTAAGGCTCTCAGAAGCAATGGCTGAATTGCTGCCTGTTTCTGACTGGAGAAGATAATAGCTATGTTCTGCAAGTTGACTTAACCTTTTCACGTAAAAGGCATTTGATTTTGAGTGCTGCAGGCCAGTGGAATACAACTGGGACAAGGAGTTGAGAGATCTGGGTTCTAATCTCGTATCCCAGTATCTTCCACTGATGTCAATGGTGGCCAATTAACATTCTGAGGACTAGGCACTGGTCCACTACTTATTACAATGACCTACTGCATGATTTTGGGCAATTGATTTAGCCTCTCTGAGTATTAATTTCATTAATATTCACCAGTGGACCATCAACTCTGGTTTCATTATTTCCACATGGGAACTGCTATCATCCTGACCTGATTAAAAGAATGGTCAGTCCATGAAAAGGCCTAGGGTAGAAATCTCCAGAGTACCTATGGGAATTCAAAGCCCGTGTTTCATTTTCAGAAGTAATTTAGGCACCTACCTAGGCCTACATTTTTAAAGGTGCCTAAAGATGCATTTCGGCACCTAGTGTGAAATTCACAAGAAGGGTTCGGTGTTGCAACCCTTAAATTTGGGGCACTCTGCCACTAAGTAGAATGTACAGGCCTGAGTTAGGGATCACCACCCTATATGCCCCGTATGTCAGTGAGGTGTTTATGATACTTTCTGGGGATGTGGGAGATGGATGTGATTTCTGCTCCTAAGTCATTTAGACACAGATCCTCAAAGGCACTTAGGCACCTATCTACCTTTAACTTTCTAAGTCCACCACTAAGTATCACCAGAGCTCTCAGACTGCCACTCAGCTGTTGCTTCATCCTGGAGACAGCTAACTTCCCTGGGCATGGGTATCAAACATACAGCCCACAGGTTGGATTAGACCTACTAAGCCACTGCATCTGGGCTTCCAGGATACTGGCAGGTCAGGGAATTTGAGGATATGGCTAGCAGGGGGCAGGGTTTGCCACAGAATCTGTGGCCTTGCTGGACCTGACCTTCAGGGGCAGGGAGGTGAGTGAGGGCTGCTTACCCTGCCACCACCACCATATGCACCATCTCACAGTTCTCAGTGGTGACAGATGACGAAACAAGGAGCAATGGTCTCAAGTTGCAGCAAGGGAGGTTTAGGTTGGATATTAGGAAAGACTTTTTCACTTGGAGG